TTTCCTATTCTGTCTGTGACTCCTTTGATATATGGTAAAAATACCTTTGATATATGGTAAAAATACCAGATGACTGGTACTTTGGCCTAGGAGTGTATCCATACTCCAAAATTATGACAGTTTAACAGTACTGTAGTTGCAATGGCTTCATCCTACAGAATCCTGAGATTTGTTATTTGTTGAAGTGCCCAGAATTCCCTGTTAGAGAGCCCTGGTCTGCTCTCCTGAACAGCAGCATTAGAGTTCTCTGGAAGATATATTTAAATATCTTACCAAACTACAGTTCCCAGGATTCCATAGACTGAAACCATTGGAATAAAAGTGGTATCAAAATTTTATAATTGTGTAGTATGGATATATCTTTGGTCATGTCCATTATCTGAATCTCAACCGCACTTGAATTTCCAGTTTGAAATCCATATAAATCAGGACTGGACAATTGCTCTGGTTAGGAGCTGTATAGGTTCCCACAGGATCATGGAGAGCTGCCCTTCATTGTTTTCCTCAGCCACACCAAATTGGGGGCTGGAAAATGGATTCCAAAATACTGAGAAGGGAACAAAGATGTCTTAAATGTGGGGAAATGTCCAAAAATGCTTCCTTTTTTCAACCCCGCAACTGAAAGTTGTGGTCCTGGGGAACACATGTGACCTGTGGATCATGTAGTCCACCCTGATTTATATTTTGTCTGTATTACTATATGCTTGCATGGATTTTGTTGTTGTGTGCCTTCAAGTTGTTTCCGATTTATGGCAACCCTAAGGGAACATCAGAGATTTTTCTTGGCAGAATTTGTTCAGAAGGGGTTTGTCCTTGCATTTCTCTGAGGTTGAGAGAGTGGGATTTACCCAAAGTCACCCAGTAGGCTTCCATAGCCGAGTGGAGATTTCAACCCAGGTCTCCTGGTGTCCTAGTCCAACACTCAAAACACAACACTATGCTGGCTTTTTAGTGCCTTTAGCTCCAAACATTTAAAAACTTACCATCTTTAGAAACGTTCCAGCTGTTCTGTATTGTGCTGTCACCCAAGAGTACGTAAGTAAATTTGGGAATATATGAAAACTCATCTGGATCAGTGACTTCTATCTTTGCTTTCTCATTTCCTTTGAGAGGGTGGCAGAAGAACAAAAAATCCTTTGCTAGCTTTGGAGGGTTGTCATTGACATCTTTCACGTTCAGTATCAGCTGTGCTGTGGAGCTCTGAGATGCTTTAGCTATTGGTGTGAACAGAGCACAAAACAATATTACAGGACTCATAAATAGAGATGTTCAGACTCATTCATTTCGCTTGCTCCCACTTTCCAATATTGCAAGGAAGTGAAACAAAAATTTCAGCCATCCTTACATAGAACCTCCTATTCCAGTGCAATGGGTGTTGTTGTAGCAGAGCCTCACCAAGGGTTAAAATAGGACTTTCAGATTAACAAGAACATTGGCATCCATGTCACACAAAATACCACACACACATTTTCCTCCTCCCTCTAAGTTTAGCTGCAATATTCACAGCAGATAAAAGAGTGGGGTAAGAAAGTAATTTTTGCAGCAACATTACTGTGAAGAGAGAAGCTGGTTGGTGCCAGCTAAACACAGCTCAAGGAATGCCGTGAAGGGGGACCCACAAGGGAGAAAGGATACAAAACTGAGGCTTGTCTCCAACAGAAGGGAGATAAAGAAAACAATACAGATAAATTGAGGAAAGATGGCATGGAGATAGAGAAAAGCTGTAATAGGGATAGGACAGCCAGCCAAGGAAGAAGTGAATAGAGTTTTGGAGAACTGCG